CTAGATATTGTACTCACCTCAAGAGACAAATACTCGATGTTTCTGAGTAGCTGTCGATCTCCCAGGAGTAGAGGTAAGTCAATGGTGACTTCCCAAACGCCAGGTTGTGTCATGGTCTCCCGTGTGACATCCAATCTTCTGATGCCTTTGTCGCGGAAGTTGACAACAGCTCGTAGCTCCAGCTGAGTCTGTGCTACGTCGTCTGGTAGCGGTGTTCCATCCTGGTAGGACGCTACGATCTGGACATATGCAACTTTGTATAGGTTTTTTTATAATATATTTTAGGTATACAATGTGTTTCCTTTTTTTTTTTATGATATTATTAAAAAAGAAACATGTTGCCATTAAATTTATTTATTACAAATTTTAACGATAAGTGGCAATAAAAATTATAAATAAAAATAAAGAAATTTATTTCTCCTAACGAAGACAAAATATTTTTGTTAAAACTTTGAGAAAATAAAGCTTTAACTGGGCGAAGAGTCTATTTTTTTTACAGAAATAAAGTTGATTGAAAGTAAAGAATAAATGTGAAAAAATGAGGGCCAACAGCCCGAAACACATCCGTGGTTAGCTTTTCTTGATTAATCAAGAATGGGTATTTGGCCAATTCTGGAATAATTAAAAATCAACGAGAATAGTTTATATTTATTCCGATAGATGGCGCAAGCCATCGACAACTTTCAGTTGCACGATAAGGAGATACCTTTTTTCATAAATAATAAATGTTAAATCCTATTGTCACATACTCTAATGAATATATGTAGTGTTGGTTCATCTAAAAATCATGTAAATATATAATTATCTTATATTTTTTTCTACTTTGTTTCACTTTTAACCCCTGGATTACTGGTTTATATTATTATATATACAAGTATCAGAGTCATCAACAATCAATTCTGTCATCGTTTGCTTTTGTGAAAGGAATAAATACCCAAATATGGCTATTTCTTATAAGCATCGGTGGTTCAGTGGTAGAATGCTCGCCTGCCACGCGGGCGGCCCGGGTTCGATTCCCGGCCGATGCATTTTTTTTTTTTTTTACAATTTTTAAAACTCATTTATATTATAATTACGAGAATATCGTGTTTTTTTTTTATAATTTTGTTCGAAGAACAAACTTCTTGTACATTTATAAGTCAGTGGATGTATTGTAATATCTATTATGGTAAAAAGATAGAGGTTGCCTGGGGCCGGCATTCATATTTATATGACACTTCGGCCAGTTAGAGTTTTTTTTATTTTTCTCAACGTTTTGACAAAAATCTTTTGTCTTCATCAGGAGAAGTAAATAAAAATAGAGCATTTAGCAAGGCGTTAAAATTTGTTCTGAGGTTGCAAGGGCGTTCTCACGTGATTTTTCGAATTTAGTACAACATCTAAAGCACGAGTCAAAAAAAAAATTTTAAACACGTCAATAGACTATGATCTTGGAGATAAATAAATATATAATAATAAAATTATAATTAAATAAAGTAATATAATGATATTAATCACAAATATTATTTTATAAATTTCTAACTATTATGTACAATTTATATCTAGCTTTTACCTACTTTTTGATATTTAAAAATTATGATGTACTTACGTAACATTTGAAAGGCATGAAGGGTTTGAAGACTTGTGGAGAGGCTCCCAAGAAGCGTAGAGATACGGTGGAGGTGAAGACAAGAGCCTGGCCATGTCCAACTTCAATACGATTGAGGTAACGTTCACCAACGACAGCACGGACTGTGATCCTGGCTCTGTCCAGACTGGTGGTTCTTAGTCTCAAGTCCTTGGTGGGGAACTGGAAGCGTAGGTAGCCTTCAAACTGCACGTAACACCGTCTCTCAGTACCTATACAACACTTACTTGCTACAGTACCTCTCTGTACAGGGCAACACTTAGTTACAAAGTCATAGTGTTCTAACTCCGCCTTTGCTGGTCCCAAGCTCGGATGAAAAAGGAGGAGGGGGAGCAGTAACAAGCTCACTAATAACCTGGGTTCAGCTGGCCATGCTGATAGTACCCTGTAAGGTCTCAAGGATACAGGATGAGCAGCGTTTGTACTCCATGTTAGGAGCGGCTGCACATGGTGTCCGTTCCTCATGTGAGAAGCGGCCATTTCTCTTGAAGCTAAGTCGGCCTGGCACTGAGTAGTGCTCCCAGTCTTAATGACAAAGGCAGACGCATTATACTTCACCCAGTCATGATGGTTGTCAAATCTCATATTGACTGATCCATTGATGAGATCTACTCTTCCCCGGCAGACACCATCAAAAGTCTCAAGCCTTACAAACTTGATACCTTAATATGATTGAGTGGAGATAAGAAAGAAGAAGAAGACCAAAGTGTCCTTTAGGGAGAGGTGTCCATTTACCAGAGAGTTGTTACAGTAGAACAACCTCTCTGTAAAGATCAACGCCTAGTTACAGAGACAAAGTGTCCTTTAGAGAGAGTTGTCCTCTTACCAGAGAGTTGCTACAGTAGAACAACCTCTCTGTAAAGATCAACGCCTAGTTACAGAGACAAAGTGTCCTTTAGAGAGAGTTGTCCTCTTACCAGAGAGTTGCTACAGTAGAACTACCTCTCTGTAAAGGACAACACCTAGTTACAGAGTCAAAGTGTCCTTTAGGGAGAGAAAAAAAAAAGATTTACAATGAGCTGGCTGGAAGGGGTCAAGAAAGTTACCAGAAGGTCACTAAATGAGAGTGATGGACACTAACAACAACAGAAACAGTGTGATGAGCTGTGAGTGATGGTCACTAACAGATCAAATTGGAGAATAGCTGTCCATATAGTCACCTAAAGTTGACTTGATGGACACTAACAACAACAGAAACAGTGTGATGAGCTGAGAGTGATGGTCACTAACAGATCAAATTGGAGAATAGCTGTCCATATAGTCACCTAAAGTTGACTTGATGGACACTAACAACAACAGAAACAGTGTGATGGGCTGTGAGTGATGGTCACTAACAGATCAAATTGGAGAATAGCTGTCCATATAGTCACCTAAAGTTGACTTGATGGACACTAACAACAACAGAAACAGTGTGATGAGCTGTGAGTGATGGTCACTAACAGATCAAATTGGAGAATAGCTGTCGATATAGTCACCTAAAGTTGTCTCTATGAACACTAACAACAACAAAATACCAAAGAATAACCGCTAGGTATTACGATACAAAATGTTTTCTAAATTATCGTTGTTTGTGTAGAGTGTATCAAGTTATATATATGTACTTACAACACGGAAATACTGTTCCAGAAGTGGTCGTCCACTTGGTTCTCTCTGGAACGGTCGATATGGTTCCACGTACATCTCCAAGGATAGGTTACCAACTACAGGAGCACCGCTGGTATAGCTGCCATAATACCAGAATGGTCAGAATTTGGCAAACCGATCAATTCATTTGGTTTTTCATATTTAAAATTAATGTAAGTCTTTATAAAATGAAAGGATTTAAAAGCACGAATGTTTCTTTTATACATAATACAAACTTCTACTATCCTTACTGCGATGAAAAATATATTGGGAGGGCTTGGCTCATCAGTGGTGAACCCTCCCTTATTGCGGAAGAGCGATTGCTCGTAGCATTTTATATATTTATAATTATATGTAATTCTACTGTCCTCACAAAGCTTATGTCCATAGTTCATCTAAAACACCCAATCTATGAGTCTAGCAACAGTATCACTATAAAAGGAAGATCGAAAAATACAATATAACAGCGGTATGGTAGATTAAACTGGCGAAACAGCTGGGAGGGTTCACTGTCAAATTATATTGACAAATATTTGCACGCTTATCTTATTTTTTTAGTGCGAAAAATGTTGTTTTTGTTAAATAAGTAAACCGAGCAGTCAAGCATTCTAATTGGACGAATGTGGCCATGTTTGTATATAAATGGGGTTTAAGGGAATGCGGGAAGCCAGTATGGTTAAAGTTTTGTGTAGAGGCGCTTATAGTGTTCTCTGCATGTTTTATCCGTGTCTGGTGATCTCCTCACATACCTGTGTGACCCCGGTCCGATCCCTACCAACGCAACAATAAAGATAAGTACTGTGTGTGTTTTTTTTATTTTTTTAACCAATTGTAATTTTATTTGCCTCTTTTTTTAATGTACTTTTGAGTGTAAGTTTTTGTGTTTTTAGTTTCTATTACTTTAGGCCCTAGTTTATTGCATTTTGTGTTAACCCGTACAAAATAACTTTTTGTCATCATCACTGACAAGCCAGACCCTCCCATTAATTTTTCCATTACAGTAAGGACAATAGAAATTGTTTATTTTTAAAAAAGAATCATACGTGTCTATAATAGTTTTGAATTTATTTAATATAGAATTTATGTTCAAATAAAAACCATTGTTATACTTGGAGAAATCTGTATGGGGTTTGATCACTAATAAAGGTTTATGTGTGTATTGTATCACGTATAATACAATATAATGTGGCTTATGATTGTAGAACGAAAATTACAAATATCCCGCAAATATTAACACAAATCAATAACGCGCCATCTATACATATAAAATTAAAGGATTTAAAAGAACGAATGTTTCTTTTATACATAATACAAACTTCTACTGACCTTACTGCGATGAAAAATATATTGGGAGGGCTTGGCTCATCAGTGGTGAACCCTCCCAGCGGTTTCGCCAATTTAATCCACCAGACCACTTCTCAGAGCTCTACTACTGTATTGGACGATTCTGCTTATATACGCAGCACTGAAGGATGGAATCTCAGAAATGGTTTTCAAGAAAACTATGGACATAAGCTTTTTTTTTTTTAGGACAGTAAAATTACATTCAAATTCATTTGCATACAATTCATCCTTTCATACTTCATCCTTAAGGATAGAAATAATCGTTATTTCTCCTTAAAATAAATTTCGATTTTTCGTTCAAAAGAAGCAATGCAGGATAATTTTAAAATGTCGTTCTACAATCATAAGCCGCATTATATTGCAATATAAATTAACTTTATATAATATTTACGAACGGAAAAATATGTCCAAGGTAGCCTAGTGGACATGGCATCTGCCCGGGACGAGTGGGCAACACCCTCGATTCCCGACAGTCATGAACCGGGATTGAATCCCGCGTTAAAATTTTGTTTAATATGTGAATAACCTTCACATATTATTCACTGTTTCAATTATCATGAACTAGGTTGCTCTTGTTGAGCGGTACCTATTAATGTGATTTTGAACCAGAACCAGATCTGCCTGGTAAGCGGAACACTGTGGGTTCGATTCCCATCCCTGGATACTTTTATTTTTCCGTTTATCATTACTCTTCACAATTCATCGTTTCATACTTCATCCCTAAGGATAGAAATTATTTCTCCTTAAAATACGATTTTTTGTTCAAAAGAAACATTTGCGGTAAACGTCGTTTTACAATTGTATGACTTACTTTGCCATGATGGTACCCTGAATGGCTTTGTCGGTGTCCATGAAGAACTCAGGCATGGTAACATTGACTTCGTACAGTGTTTGATCTGTATAACACACATTGTCAGCCATTTTGTCTGTTAGTACAACCTATTGGTAACTTACAGTACTCCTCGACGTGGAAAGACTTCTCTTCAACTTGGCCCTAAAAAACACAGAATTGTGTCTCATATGACACTTTAACTATATATTGGGTTGATACAAAAATAATGGACGATTTTATAAATCTAAATTCAATTGTTGATAATTGCAATTAATTATTTTCAAATATTTATAAGTAATATAGTTAAACCTGTCGATAGCGCCCCCTCTTGGGACTCACCAAAATAGGGTACTATAGAGAGGGGGTGCTATAGACAGGTCACTTTTAATGTACAGTTAAACCTGTTTATAGCGCCCCCTCTTGGGATTCACCAAAATAGGGTGCTATAGAGAGGTGCTATAGATAGGCCACTTTTAATGTAAATCTAATTGTACTACAGTTAAACCTGTCTATAGCGCCCCCTCTTGGGACTCACCAAAATAGGGTGCTATAGAGAGGGGTGCTATAGACAGGTCACTTTTAATGTACAGTTAAACCTTTTAATACATTATAAAGGACTGCAGCGTATGATTATAAAGTAATACTTAAAGCCTCCCCGCATACGTTTCTTTTTTGTGAAAAATCAATATTAATTTCAAAGAGAAATATGTACTATTTCTAACTTTTTGGATGACGTATGACGTATGTCCATAGCGCCCCCTCTTGGGACTCACCAAAATAGGGTACTATAGAGAGGGGGTGCTATAGACAGGTCACTTTTAATGTACAGTTAAACCTGTTTATAGCGCCCCTCTTGGGATTCATCAAAATAGGGTGCTATAGATGGGTCAATTTTAATGTAAATCTAATTGTACTACAGTTGAACCTGTCTATAGCGCCCCCTCTTGGGACTCACCAAAATAGAGTGCTATAGAGATGGGGGGGGGGGGGGGTTTAGACAGGTCACTTTTAATGTAAATCACATCGTACTACAGTTAAACCTGTCTATAGCACCCCCCTCTTGGGACTAATCAAAATAGGGTGCTATAGGTTATACGCATTCTACTTCACCCAGTCATGATCTCAAGTTTTAGAAGCTTAATACCCTAATATGATTGAGTGGAGATAAGAAAGAAGAATTTTTGTTTGCTCCTGACGAGGACAAAAGATTTCTGTCGAAACGTCGAGGTAATAAAAAGATTTACTGGCCGAAGTATCTTCTTTTTCAAGAAATATGAATGCCGGCCAGGCAGCCTCAATATTTACGATAATCAAGACCAATTTTGGTCCCGAGGTATTCAAGATGGCAAGGCAACTAGAGAAGACTATGATCAAGTATGCAAGGACTAAACATTCTTTATATTTTAACCATCGTATCAAAGATCTCAATATCATTCCCCCGAGCCTGAATGTAAAAGCGCTAGTTCGAACTTCCTTTGGAAGGCAGATTGCTAGAAGAGCAAGTCTTCAGTTCGTCAAGGCACGCATCCAAGAATCTCACAGAATGGTACATATACAGAGGCAATGTTTGGCGAGTCAGCGAAGTGCTATTTCAGAAATATTAGATGAAAATTACATGAAAATTCTTGAGGAGAGTATACAGAGAGGGATAAAGAAAATAGAAGAACGGCTAATGAACACAATGAGGAACAAACTGGACAGATGGGCTCCTAGAATCAAGAAGGTCGATCCTAGAAGAGTATGCAACATCTCAGGGAAGGATCTAACAGAAGATCAGTTGAGGCTTCTTGATAAAGGGTCAAACTATAGACCAATGCCACTCAAAACTGATTACATTAGATTAATTTCTAACATCGAAAATGGGATTAGGAATCTAAATGAAAATGATAAAATTATTATTAGAAACATAATTTCGAATGTTATATCAAGGACAACAAAAAACCAAAATAATTTTGAGTTAGAGAAAGCAAAACGATCCGAATGGATGGCTATAAAGAAATTGAAAAATGATATAGAAATAGTTATAACTAAAGCAGATAAAGGAGGCAAGACAGTCGTGATGAAGAGAGAGGATTACAATGATAAGATAACGAACCTTCTCAACGATAATAATACATATGAAGAAATTCGCGAAGACCCAACTAAAAAGATAAAACTCAAAATATCAAAATTCATCAAAAACATGAAATCTAAGGACATTGATAAAAGAAAAATGAAGCTAGAAGATGTCGCTGCACCTCTCTTCAAAGGACTACCAAAGATCCACAAGGAAGGAGTTCCCCTACGGCCCATTGTGTCAGGATTCAAGGCCCCCACCAGAGGTTTGGCGGACTGGCTTAAAAACCAAGTTCCAAGTACAAGAAAAATTTCTGGGTTAGAGATTAGAAATAGGAAAGAGCTATTAGATATCACTAAAAATTTAAGGTTAAATGACCATGAAATAATGGTATCCTTTGACGTCAAATCACTTTTCACCAATATCAATAGAACTCTAGCTCTTAAAGAGCTAAGGGAATATTTCGAGGTGAAAAGACAAGATTGCGAAAACAAGGGATTAGAAATCGATGAAATGATAGAAGGTTTTAGGTTATGTTTAGATAATATTTACTTCAGATACGGTGATAAATTTTACAGACAAAAGGACGGCACTGCTATGGGTTGCCCTACAAGCATGATCATTGCTGACATTGTAATGGCATCGGTAGATAAAAAGGCAATCTTAATTGAGGGAATAAAAATCTGGGGACGCTATATAGATGATGTTTTCGCAGTGATCCGCAAAGAAAATCTTGATGGAATCATGGTCATGTTGAATAATTTAGAAAGAGGAATAGAATTCACGGTTGAAACAGAAAGAGAGGGATTTTTATCATTCTTAGATGTAGGACTAACTCGCAAAGAAGATGGTTCTATTTTAACCAGCGTTTTCAGAAAGCCAACAGACTGTGGGATACATCTAAATTTTAATTCCAATAATCCTATAATACATAAAAGACAGGTGATAAAATCTCTTGTACAAAGAGCCAAACAGGTATGTACAAACCAAGATATTTATAAAAAAGAGATCATGAAAATTAGAGCAGAATTAGAACAATCTGATTATCCAGTAAGTTTCACAAACAAATGGATCAGAAGATATGAAATAGATAGGCCAAATTCAAATAGGAATAAAGATGATTGCAATAATATAATTATTCCATATTTAAGAGATATAGATAACGAAATATCTAGAATTTTGAGAAAATTTAAATATAATATATGGCATAGTACGGGGACAAAAAGGGAATTTATAACTAGAAATAGCATAATGAAGGATAACATAGGCACATCAAAACCAAGTAATGTAATTTATGGGATTAAATGCACAGAATGTGACAAAATTTATATAGGAGAAACCGGCCGTAATTTAGAGACCAGAATTAAGGAACACCAACAGGGTTTATTGGGGAGAAGGGCGTTAAGCAAAATTGGGGAACATGCACTATATTCAGAACATAGGCCAAATTGGAATGATATTGAGATATTTCATAGGAATATAAAATTTAAAAAGGAAAGATTATTTTTAGAGGGATGGGTATCACGGGAAATGGGGCCAAGAAGTATAAATGTATTTGAAGATATTCCACTACAATATAATTCGTTTTTAAATTTAAACAGTAGTTAAAAAAGGTTGGTATAAATAGTAAGTAATAGATATCGATTTATATATACTATTGGGAAATCTTTGTAAATATTATTATTATTTTATAATTATTTTTGTTTTATAATTTATCATTATATATATGTATATTTTAATTTATTTCAAAGATCATAGTCTTTTGTGAGTTAAATATTTATTTTTGACTCGTGCTTTAGATGTTGTACAAAATTTTAAATATCGCGTGAGAACGCCCTTGGAACTTTAGAAAGATTTTTAACGCCTTGCTAAATGTTTAATTTTTGTTTGCTCCTGACGAGGACAAAAGATTTTTGTCGAAACGTCGAGGTAATAAAAAGATTTACTGGCCGAAGTATCTTCTTTTTCAAGAAATATGAATGCCGGCCAGGCAGCCTCAATATTTACGATAAAGAAGAAGAAGTAGATAGAGAGACAGGTACCTGTGCAACAACTTGTATGGACCATTTTCCATATGTTGGTTGGATTGATAGATCATACTCCAGGCTTACAGCACCTGTACATACACATTGGGACATCAGGATACATGACGATCATGGACAACACTTAAGGAAGTTGTACCTTTTAGCATGTATATCGGGATTCAGACAATAACTCTGAAAGATAGATTCATGGACAAAACTTAAGGAAGCTGTACCTTTTAGCATGTATATCAGGATTCAAAAAATAGCTCTGAAAGATATTACAGTGACCTTTATTGAAGACACACGGGATAACCAAATGTTTTCTCCATGAGTGTATCTTCCATAATATTTTGTTTAATCAAAGTGGAACTTTAATGATTTAGAACTGGCTGTCGTTATTGAACAGAACGTGTTCGTAGAACGAGGTATCAGTAGGTATGATATGATCATGATTGTCGTTAAACGAATATACTCACCGAAGTTAGATTGTCGAGATAGCCAACGTCTCATGATCTGTCGTCCAGGATCCAGCATGTAAACGTCAATGGCATCTGGGAAAGCTTTGAGATCCATTCCAATTGGGATGGTACGGAATTTGACTGCACATCACAACATAGAATACACTACAGCTTCTCACAGTATCCCCAGTACTTGTAAATGAATATATAGACTAGTAAAATACATGGTTAATATACATTTGATTTTCGTTTTTGCTTATCTCTAGTACACGTGGTACAGGCCATGATAATCA